GGTACATTTTTAGAAAACATATATTATAACGAGTTTATAGACATTTACTCTATAGTCTATCTCTTAGAAGCTGCTTGTAAAAAATAATTTAACAAACCTAAAACCTATCTGGTATTTATTATTTATTATACTTCAGAAAAATATGTGAAATCCAAATGCCCAGAAATAGAAATATGATACAGGGAATGATACATTAAAAAAGTAAAAAAGGCAGCAGATCACACTGCCAAGTGTGTACCTATGCAACAATCTTGCATGTTCTTCACATATACCCCAAAACCTAAAATACAATTAAAAAAAAAAGGAAAAATAATTATTATTCAAATATAGTATGATTAACACTTAGAGAAAAATATTTCAAAAAATTCTAATACAATGTTAAATGAAAATATCAGCATACAAATGAGTATATACATTTAATTGCTTCTGTGTTAAAATGTATGTAAGAAAAAAAGGAAAATGTAAAATTAAAAATAATCATTAGGTTTAGTGGTGGAAATGGAATGAATGAATGAATGAATTATAACCAAATATTTATTGAATACCTGTTATGTACCAGGCACAGTTCTAGATGCAAGAAGTATAGAAGTGTACACAAATGACAACAATCCTGACACCTATAGTGCTTACTTTGCAATAGAGGGGGAGACAGAAAATAAAATAAAGAATATATTATAGTTTGTTGAATGGTAGTAAGTGCAATATTAAAAATAAGACAGAAAAAGAGAATAGGTATAAGTGGAACAGGGATAAAATTTAATTTAAACGTATGACATTTTTAGCTGTGAGAAAACAATTCAAGTATGACTGTGTTCTACAAAGTATTTATAAATTTATAATTTATCAAATGAAATAGTAATTTTTTAACAATAGAGTAAAGCCTCCATTATTTCAGAAAAGATACAATTAATTTCAAAATTTTAAAATTTTAACAGGAGCAAGTCTAAACATTGCTACATTAAGACTTATAGAAACTGTGAATCTATTGCTACGTGTGCATACCTCTATAACTGCATTTCATTCAAAGAATGTTAAAATTATGTTTACCTGCTGTCTATTTTATAAGCCTGTATCTTTTTCATTTAATTTTGCAGCCAAATGTTTGAGAGAGCTATCCATATTTATTGTCTCCATTTCTTCCTACATTCTTCATCCTCTAACTTACTCCATCTACACACTTTGGCTTGAACTCCTACCACCAACCAGATCACTAAAAGTGCACTCACAAAGCATCTAATGACATTCATGTCATTACATGCTTTAATTATCTTTGACCTAAATAGTAGTTGGCAATGTTAGTCACTCCACCCTCTTAAAAAAGCCTTCTGTCTTTGGTTTCAGGACACTACATTTTCTTGTTTGTTTGTTTGTTTCCTATCTCTGTGGCCAGTTCCTCTCATCCTCCTTTGTGGGTCTCTTATCCTCTACCTAGCCTTTAAATATAGGGATTTCTCAGAGCCTTATCCTAAACTCTCTTCACACAGCCTCCCTGAGAATCACATCTTCTCCTACAATTCTGGTTATCACCTGTAGACTGATGATACCTTAATCTGTACTTCCAGATTCCTCTCTTGAGTTTCTTACCAATATACTGTACTGCCTACCTGACATGTCTGATTGGATGTTTCCAGGCACTTCTAGCTTAATGTTTCTCAGGCCGAACTCATCATCTCCCTTATTCAGGCAAATCTTCCTAAATTGTCTCTCCTCCTACGGTCCCTATCTTCAGTAAACGACATCATCCCTTCTGTTGCTCATGCCAAAGAATCTGGGAATCATCCAGGACTCCTCCCTCTCTTTTACTCTCTACATCTAGTCAATCACAAAGTTAAATTGATTCAATCTTCTGTTAATCCTCAAAACCATCCACTTCTTTATGACTAGTTACCACCCAATCCATCATTAGCTGTAGTCTAAGGTATATTTTAAAAACATGCAAATAATTTTCCTCCTCTCCAAAATATTCTTCATTCAGCAGCAAGACTGATCTTTCCAAACTGCCAATCTGATCATGTCTTGCCCCCATTTAATCCTTTTAATTTATTTCCATTGTCATTAGAATCAAGTCCAACTCTTTAGTTTGGTTTATAAGGCTCACCTCAATCACTTCTCCAATCACTTTCTCCTCAGAATTTAATGCTTCAATAATGTTGGCTTTTTCTCATCAAAGACAAAATGTCCTCTCTCATTTTTTGGCCTTCAAACACATTCTGTTTTAGCTCTCAGCATAAACAATACGTCCTAAGGAAGGTATCTTATCCTTGGTGTATATGAATTTCTCATTATAACAGTTATCATATGTTACTAGACTTATATATTTAATGTTTAGCATAGTAGACTGTAAGCTATGAGAACATTAAACATATCTCTCTTGTCACTGTTATGTTTTAATGCTTTGCGCAGTTCCTGGTTCATTTTAACTATTCAGTAAGCATTTATTGACAAGGAGAAGGAATGGAGAAAGGGAAGAGGGAGAAAAAGAAGAAATAATAATCAGTCTTGGGTGAATTACAAGAAAAGGAAAAAACAGGGAATTGTTTAAATAATAACGCACTTCAGACTTTAAAAATATTTACACTTTCTTTCACATTCATTTCTTATAACAATGCTGGGAGGAAGTATTGTTGTGCACTTTTTACAGTAAAAAAACAGAGCCTCAGGAAAGAGGTAGCATGGCTCTTCATGCTATTTCTTCCACCCAGAATCCCATTTCCTTTATCCACTTTCCATTCCTTGAGATATAGCTGAAATATCACCTGCTCCTTAGAGTGTCTCCTTTTCTCCTCATGGCCTTAATAGTATAATTTTCTTCCTCTTCTCTAATCCCACTGCATACTTTATGTGCTAATGATTCTTAGCACAATGTTCTCTATATCCCAATACCTAGAACAGTGCATAGCACATGATGGTGCTGAATAAAGTCCTATGAAGTAAAAAAAATACCTAAACATCTCGCTTGAGGAAAGGAAAACTCTGAAGCAGCATAAGCAGCTTTGTATCTAAGTTCTGGGGATGGCAAGGTAAAAAATAGGAGATATTACATATACAAACAATGACACATTACATATACAAACAATGTAATATGTTACGGTACCTTATGCCTAAGTGGCTTAATAAACTACAACAAACTCAATTCTGAAACTTTAGGCTCTTTCAGACCACTAGAGGAGTCCAATGACTACTGGATAATAGCTGCCACTGAGTGCCTGTCAACATTGCATAAGAGCACCAACTTAATTGTAAAGAATCATAATCCAAATGCAAGGACCCATTAATATTTCAAAATCTTGTCAAAAGCCATAACAGAGAAGACATGCCATAACAGGGAAGACATAACATAGTTCATGAGAAAAAAAGCAGTGAAATAATTAAGACTTATGCATCTTCAAAAGTACAAAAAAAGGACTCCAGAACTTAACACTTGGGAAAAATGGATGGTGATTCTTGTTGCTGTATAAGATCTCAACACAGAATATGGAAAAAGATATACAATGTCATTTCTAAGGCCCTCATGAGCAGATCAATAGTCATATATTTTACTTGTAAGGTTTAAAGTACTCATCTATACATATGCCTATTAACAAAGAAATGATTTCTATTATTATCTACTTGGGCTGGAATCAGAGACTCAAAGCAAACGCCTATCCCTTACCCAGAAAGACTGAGAGAAGGAGCAGCAGATTAGTTGATCTGATACAGGAAAGCAAAAAAAAAAAAAAAAAAAAAAGCCTAAGGAGATATTTTTACCTTTAATAAATGGTTTTCATTATTGTTGTCAAATGCCTACACTTTTATAAACCTTAGCTGCTCAGCCCAACATTTATAGAAAATTGCCAAGTATCATTGGGAAATAAAAGCACAATTCAATATTTATAAACTGCTTGTTTTCTATAAATACAGACATTCAGAGGCTATCTTCTCACTAGTCATTAATATTTGAACAGAGATCAAACTAGAACAATATTAACAATTCCTCGCATTTGTATAGGATTTTATATCATACTATTAATAATAGATACCATTTATTGAGCACTTAGTAAGTGTCACACACTTTACATGTAAATTCCCATAACAAGTTCAGTTCTTTTTAAAGGGTATTTACTTAACACCTACTGTGTGATAGATGAATAGATTAATAATACTAGGCTTTTGTCTTTAAAAGCTCTCATTTTGTCACACTCAATCAATATTTGTTGAATGAATAAATGAATGAATGAATTTGCAGAAAAGGTATTATGGGGCAACATAAATAATACAGGGCATTCCCTTACTCTTCATGGTCTTCATAAAGTACTTAACTTTCCCTAGCCTCAATTTTTTTATCCATAATATAGGGATATTTTAAATTTCCTTTGCAAAATTATGGAAATGGTAACAACAAATATAAAGCATTTGACACAGACGGGTTTTTAGTAAATGGAGTAGTTTTATTACTAGTATTATTAATGTTATTATTACCATCATTATTACAGTTATTAACCAGTCCTATCCAACTCTCCTTTTCCTCACTATAGCAATGGTACAAATAGAACTTTAAAATCCACAAAAACTATGCAAAACAAGAGAAAGCTACTGAACTGTAGTTCCTAATGTCTTCCTAGGTTACTGTATATAATCTATGCTTATGCTAGAAAAAAAAAACAATTTTAATTATGTTTCCAAAGATCCCATGATAAAAGCCAAACGGGACAGGAAGCTTACCAAATGACAGACTGCCTTTTCTCATAATTCAATGGTGGTCATTCAAGCACAGGACCATTTTCCAACATTCTCAAGAACAGTACCCAAACAATGGCCATATGGAAACTCATCTTCATTCTTCTCCAGTGACAGAAAGTATGACCCCCAGCTGTACAGAAGATAAACTTGAGCTCTGGGTCAAATTTTCTTTTAAAAAATTATTTTTAATTTTCTTTGGGTACACTAGTAGGTGTATATATTTATGGGAACTAGGTCAAATTTTCTAACCACGAAGGGGTTCTATTCTGTAGATCACTTACCATTTTGGTCTACTGGTAGATTTCACCATAGGGGCCATCCCATCTCTGTAGAGACTCTTGGTTTTACTGAAGTTAACAATGTTGAAAATGACCCTCTGAAAAAGAAAGAGGGAGAAGTTCATCTTAAGACTATCCTATGCAAATGCTACTTCCTGATAGTTAAGACAGGAAATAATAAGCAGGGTTAAAGAAAGCCATATGGACTAGCAGCCAACTGTATAGTGAGAATAAACAGTGTTCATGAGACTAATGTGTTTGCTAAGCATAGCAGTTAAGCATTAACTCTGGAACCTGGAAACTTGAGCTTTAGTACCAACTCTACTGCTTTTGAATTGGGTAAACTTGCCAAGCTACTGAACATCTTTTCAGTGTCCTGATCTGAAAAATGGGAATAACAACAGTACCAATTTCATAGGGCTCTGATGAGAATTAAATTAACATATGTACAGTATTTGGAGCCATACTTGGTACATAATGAATGCCATCAAGTTTTAGTTATTATTAATTGTATCCTTTCTCTTGGCTGATGTAGAATTTACATAGAAATAAATAATATTGGCCGGGCGCGGTGGCTCAAGCCTATAATCCCAGCACTTTGGGATGCCGAGGTGGGTGGATCACGAGGTCAAGAGATCGAGACCATCCTGGTCGACATGGTGAAACCCCGTCTCTGCTAAAATACAAAAAATTAGCTGGGCATGGTGGCGCGTGCCTGTAATCCCAGCGACTCAGGAGGCTGAGGCAGGAGAATTGCCTGAACCCAGGAGGCGAAGGTTGCAGTGAGCCGAGATTGCCGCCATTGCAGTCCAGCCTGGGTAACAAGAGCGAAACTCCGTCCCGCCCCACCCCCCGGAAAAAAATAAAAAAAAAATAAATAATATTATCATAAGGGTAAGAATAGTACATTTAAAGTTCAAAAACACTAAAAATAGTAACTAAGAACAAAATTGCAATGAAAAAATTCTACAACCACTTGAAACCCCTTTGACTAGCACCGGAGGATATATATCCTCTTTTGTACCCTCTTTGTTATTTTCAACTAGGGGTCGGGGTACTAGGCTCAACTCTAATCTCAGCATACGTTTATAGTGCCATAGATACTTGGGTAAATCTCTCCCCACTCTGGGTCTTATCTTTAAAATGAGTGATTATGGCATTCTAGATGCCTTTCCAAGAGGATAGTATAGTTAAGATCGGATCTTTGTTTTAGCAAACAACTCTGTCATAAGAAAGGAGGTAAGATTATGAAAGAGAAGAGAAATGTGATTAAAAGCCACTTTAAACCACTGAAATAGTTCAAATTGGAGAAGATGAGAGCTAGAGGTAGAGCAGTCAGTATAGCTGGAGAGAAGAAAAGATTTCAAGAGGTTACCACAGGTTAGCCTTTCTATCCAGGGACAGTAAAAGAGACAAAAGCATTGAAATTCATGTATTATTTTATTCAACAAATATTTATTATTTGAAGTATTATACAGTATCAAATACCAGTAATTTTATATACTTTTTTAAACATCAGAAATATTCTCCTATAACCATAAAAAATAAATATTTACATCTTCATTTAATAAATGTAGAAACTATGGCTCAAAGAGGTTACCTAACTTGATTGAAGTCATGCTAGTAGATGAGAGATTTGATATTTGAATCAGGGGATAAACAGATAAGATGTACATGATTTTTACTCTTAAGTTAATCACTAGGATTCCAAAGTTCCATAACCCTAAACAAGTCTATTTACCAAAGGCAAAAAATAAATTTAATGGTAATTATTCAAGTGTTTAAAATTTTGCTTTGTTAAAAAGAGAAAATCAAAACTATTTCCTCGGGATACTAAAATGCTTTATCCCATGAAATAAGCTTTTAGGGATAACTTGTGTTTTCCTTTCTCCTCAGAGACCCAGCCATTTACCCCATCTAGGCATTTTCGTTTCAGACTTCCCTTTAACATTAAATTAAGTCATCAAGAATGTCCAAGGCTGTTCCATTATTAATAACCTAGACCTGCCTTTTGTCAATTAAATTACTTCTCTCAGGGTCTTGGCTAGTATCTGATTAAAGAAAATCAATATTAACTAAACAAATGGCCTTTGAACCTTATAGAGCATAATCCCCCCTTTTTTTCTGAGATTCCAGTTGTCAGATTCACTTCCAGTGAACCTAGAAGTCGTAGTGCACTTTCAGGATCTGGATCATTGATTAATACAGAGAGTAAGCTAATAAAGTAATGATATAAATATGTGAGGCTAGAAAAAAGAAATGAGAAATAAGTGAAACATCTACTGATCATTAACATCCTACTTTGTGTCTAGGAAATTTCCCAGATATTTAAAATATCCTATATTATTTGTCTACTCCACTTATAAACAAAAGTTGCTTATTTCAGCCTGATTTTAGATGTGAGGAAATTGACACTTAAGCAAAGTGGCTTGCCCCCAAAAAATCCCCAAACTATTGGTAGAGGTAGGAGTTAAACTGTAGGTGTGTTAACCATAAAATTATACCTTCTTTATAATATTACATAGAAAAAGTAACATCATTTCTTACCATTCCCTGTTCAAGTATGTTTTATGTTTTCCAGCCATTTAGCAGCATTGCTTGTGGTGGAGAGAATCAAAAGTATATGGTAGCAGAAAGTGCAGGAAAGCCTGAATTTCCATATTTTAAATGTAATCATTAGTTTTTATTCAAAATAAATAACAAGATGTGGCATCTATAAGGTAATGGCAACCACAACAACAATAATAATAATTTCTGAGCACAAGCTATGTACCAAATTCTGAGTTAAGCACTTCATTCACATTATAACCATGTTTTATATATTAGAATAACCTAGTTGTAAGTTAGAATCACTTGTATAGCTTTTAAAATGGAAGATGCTTGGGCCCTACGCTAGAGATTCTGATATTTGATACATTATCTCATCTGTTTTGAGGATAATGAACTTTTTGAAACAGGAACTATGTGTCACCTCTTATTTACAGATGAGGGAGTGGCATTGCAATTAATCAAACTAAAAGCATGTAACTATTAAGTAGCAGAGCTAGTAGTTAAACCAAGTCTGTTGACACAAAAGAATAAGATTAGAGACTTTTTTGCCAGATACACTTGGGATTGAATCCCAGTTCCCTACATATTCTGTGAGTTTAAGAAAGATAATTACTCCTTTTTTTTTCTGGACATTGATTGTTTATATTCCAAAACTGAGATAGCAACAGTATCTCACAGTTGTTAAAAGAATCTATAAGATTATGGAAGTAAATCACCTAGTATATTGTACCTAGATCTAAACAGGTATTCAATATTTATTGAGACTTTCCTTTCTCATCAGTAAAGTCAGATATTTTGGTACATTACAATATCTTTCTTTCTTCTCTCCCTTCCTTCCTTCCTTCCTTCCTTCCCTCCTTCCTTCCTTCCCTCCTTCCTTCCTTCCCTCCCTCCCTCCTTCCTTCTTCCCTTCCTCCCTTCCTCTCTCCCTCTCTCTCTCTCTTGCTTTCTTGTTTTTCTTTAGATTTAAATTTTTAACCCAAGTTTCTTATTTCATTAATATAATGCTCTATATCAGAGCTCTGCAAACAGTGACCACAGTACACTGTTAGTCTAGGAGTAGGTATAATCTTCAAGACAGTCATATATGAGGAATGGAGTACCAGCCATCCTGACCAAGGATTTCATGGTACTACTAAAAATGTGCAAGCTCCATTCCACGTATAGGTCAAAGAGTGGTCCAATGTGGGTAAAGATATTGTGAAGAGCCTGCATGCAGTCCTAAACAGTGGCTTTAATTTTCTGTCTTGTCATAGATGCAATACATTTGTCCAATCAAAACTACACTTCCCATTTAATGTTGTTCACGTTAGTTTCAGAGACTATTCTAACGGGATTACAACAAGCTAAAAAACTTAGGCTCAGCAATGAAAACCACTAACAAAATGAAGAGCCAACCTCCAGAATGGGAGAGAATATTTTTAGACTATCCATCCTACAAGAAATTAATAAACAGAATATATAAGGAACACAAACAACTCAACAGCAAAAATAAATAAATAAATAAATAAATAAATAAATAAATAAATAATGGGAAAAACACCTGAATAAACATTTCTCAAAAGAAGATATACAAAGGGACAAGACGTATATGAAAAACATGTCAACATCATTAATCATCAAAAAATGTAAATCAGAGGAAAGTGCAATGGATACTCATAAATAAAGCCCTAACTCCCCGGGACAGAGCACATGAGGAAAAAAAATGGGCTTTATGAGTTCTGCTACACCAGACTTAAACGTACATGCTTAGCAGCTCTGAATGAACAACGGAGCTCACAGCTCAGCACTTGAGCTCCTATAAAGTACAGACTGTCTGCTCAAGCAGCTCCCTGACCCCTATATATCCAAAGAGTCACCTCACAAAGGACTGATCAGACTGACACTAGGCGGGCATCATTCAGGGACAAAGATAGTAGAAGAAGAAACTGGTAGCAACCCTCATGGTTCTGCAGCTGCTACAGGAGTTCCCCAGGCAAGCAGGGCCTGGAGTGGACCTCAGCAACCCTACAGCAGAGGGGCCAGACTGTTAGAAGGAAAACTAAGAAACAGAAATACTTCATCATCAACAATCTGCATGTCTACTCAGAGACCCAATCGGAAAATCAGCAACTACTCAGATGACAGGTGGATAAATCCAAAAAGATGGGAAGAAACCACTGCAAAAACTAGGAAAACACCCAAAACCAGAACACCTTGCCTCCTACAAAAGACCACAACTCCTCACCAGCAAGGGAACAAAGCTGGACCTAGAATGAATGTGATGAAATGACAGAATCAGACTTCAGAAGGAGGGTAATGAGAAATTTCCATGAGCTCAGAGAACATGTTCTAACTCAATGCAAAGAAACTAAGAACCTTGAAAAAGAAATGAATACAAGAATGAACAACTTAGAGAGGAATATGAGTGAATTGAAGGAGCTGAAAAACACAACACGAGAAATTCACAAAGCATGCACAAGCTTCAACACCCGAATTGACCAAGCAGAAAAAGCATATCAGAAGTCAAAGATCAACACAATGAAATAAAATGAGAAGCAAAGATTAG